CGCCACCGGGCCGGCCCCAAATGTTTACAGTTTTAAGACCTTACTCTTTATCAAAATGGTCTTAACCCTACTGTTACTAATAGTAATAGTTAACAGCAGACATTTATATAATGCTTACTATGTGCCCAAAACTGCTTCAACTCCTCATGACAATCCTATAATGTAGACACGATCATTCCTTATTTTATAGATGAGGAAACTGAACACAAAGAGGTGAAGCAACTTTGCCCAAGGTCACCCACATATTCAGTGCAAGAACTCAGAATTCTGACTACAGGACCCACACACCCACTATCTTTCTGGCTCAGCCCTCTCACTGTCTGATACAGCAAAGGACAAAGAATTAAGGAGATTTACAGGTGTCCTAATCATAGAAGTCGAAGCCAATTATGCTCAATCCAAAGGGATAAAAGATAACTACTTTTGTTCTGCACTTTTTAAAAGGCAGACTGGTCATAACTACAGGTGGCAGAGCTAAGACTTTACACTCCTGTGCTTTCACAGCAAAGTCCACCTTCTTTTCCCCCAAGTGAACCGTGTAATCTTTTATTCATTTACTCAACACATATTTGAATGTCTGCTATGTATCTGGCATTGTGGTAGGTGCTGTGGAGGAAACAAATCTGCTCCAGTCTTAGCCCTCAGGAGCTGCTGATTAATAGGATAAAAAGGTGCTGCAATAGAGACAAAGACTGAATAATGTGCAAGAGGAAGGACAGGTAAAGCCTGTAAAATAGAAGTAATAGAACCCAGCACAAAGGTTGGTTATAAGACTAAATGAATTAATACATGTAAAAGACTTCAAATAATTTTATCCACAAAACAGTTAGACCGGGAAGTCAAGAGATCTGAATTCTCACCCTGTACTCATTATACAGGTTGAGTATTTCTTATCCAAAATGCTAGAGAACAGGAGGGTGTCAGATTTTGGAATATTTGCAGATACTTAACCAGTTGAGCTTCCACTAGTCCAAAAATCTGAAATTCAAAATGCTCCAATGAGCATTTCCTTTGGGTGTCAAGTCAGTGCTCAAAGTTTCAGATCTTGGAGCCCTTGGGATTTTGGATTAGGGATGCTCGAACTGTATTTAAAAAAGGAAGCCCAGAATGAAAACAATGGTTACCTGTAGGAAGAAAGAAGGAAATGGGTGGAAGAAACATAGATTTAACCTAAAGTACTCTGAATATTCCTTATTTTATCCATTAGACTTTGAAAACAAGTACTTTTCATGACACAATAAAACAAAATTAAATTTCAAAAGCACTACCTAAAAATCAAAAGTAAAGTAGAAAATATGGAACCTAACTGTGACTGAGTTGTTAGGAAAAACTACAAACAGGACTTACTTCAAGTGACTTTAAGTATTTTGTACACAGTGTACACATCCTAATGACAAAAGACATACAAATTTTTATTTTTCATATCATTGGTGGTCTTGTTGGTAATGTTATTCTGAGGCTGTTGTGTACTTCGGGTTGAAGCAAAAGAGTAGGGCTGGCCGGTTAGCTCAGTTGGTTAGAGCACATCCTTGTAACACCAGTAGTCATGGGTTCAGATCCCCATACCGGCCAGCTGCCAGAAAAAAAAAAAAAAAGCAAAAGTGTAGATAGTTATGTTGGGGTTCCTGGAAATTGAGTTTTACAGCATATGGAAAGATAAGTGATACAAGATATAAATAAAAACTTTCTGAATTTGAATTAAAAGTATTATTATACACTTAGGATTTGTTTTATCTTAAAAATAAACATACATGTAAAACTTATTACTTAGTTCTAATGAAAAGGCCTAAAAACAATAAACCACCTAGTAGCTATGAGTACTCTTAGTAGCTGAGTACTCCTAGTACTTTAGCAGCCAAATTGTGTGTTTTTTTTTTTTTCTTTTTTACCATGATCTCTATTTTACTTTTTCTATTGAAGCATAATTAATTATACATATTTTGGGGGTATGACTTTAACTACCATCACCTGTGTACAACATAAGTGGATCAAATCAATATTACTAGCATATTCATTATTACAAATCATACTTATTCTTTATGCCCCTCATCCAATCTCTCCCCAACCCCCTTCCCACCTGTAATAACCATAGATTTCTTCTCTCCTTCTGCAAAGACTAACAGTTTCTCTGTTGATCTGTTCCCTAGATGATCTGTCCAATGCTGACAGAGGGGTGTTCAGGTTCCCCCACTATTATTGTAGAGCAGATGCTTCTTCTGTCACTCTGGAGTGGGCTTTGTGGAGAGAGACATCCTCTTCTTTTTCTGGTCTCCGCTGGTGACTCTCTTTGTATCTAATGCAGTTGAGTGTCTCAAGGGCCACCTGGATGATGGCTGTGGTTACTGCTGTGGCATCAAGCCACTTCTGTGGCAGCCGTGGCTATGGTGGTGTCTGTGGTAGCCACCTGCGTGAAAGTGGTGTTTTTGGTGTGCTCCTTGCCTGGTTGCAGGCAGAAGGCGCGACCCTCAGTCCCATGCCTCAGGACCCCCCACACTGTGGTGTTTACATGCCATTTTCCACCAAAAGGAACCAGCACTCCCTAAAGAAATGCTAATTTCCAGGTTTAGAGCTAAAAATACACAAGATGAACCTGGAACATCTTATAACACTAGAAAACAAGAAAGCTCCTGGAGTCACGTCAGAAGGACTTGAGCAAACAAGAGGCTCTCGGTGGCCAAAAATGGGATCAATTTGAGCATCAATAAGAATAACTTTAATGGAGTAAAACTAACCAAATATGTTTAAATCTCTTTCTAATGATATTTCTTAAAAAAATAAAAACAAAAAAGACCTTAATGGGAAGATTCCTAAATGAAGGAACCAACTTATTAATTTGAAAAATAGTAAATAAAGGCATCAAATCAAGAATTTCTCTTATTTCCCTTTTCTCTATGAACTGTAGGAAACCAAACAGTTGCTGAGGAAAATTTTCTCTAAGCATTTCAGCTAATAAAGTAAGAATAAAGGAATTACAAAATCAGCATTTTGTAACCCCTAATGTATTTAAGCAATAATCATCAATAGTTTCTAACATTCACAAAGAAACGGACAATCAGACATTATTTACCTCCTAATAAAGTGGTCTTGCCCAAACAACCTGAATCTGTTCAAGCCTCTGATCTAACTGCCAATATCCAGGAAATACAGGGGACAGAAGACCATATTAAATGACACTGTTGACCCTATGTGGATACAGTCAGCAAGATCCAGGACAAAGGTCCTGCTTCTTCAACAATGACAAATGCAAGGAAAAAGAGGAGGGAAATTTAACTGCTTTCAAGAGACTCAAAAGATAGTATGACCAAATTTCAATGTTTGAATCTACCTGGATCCTGATTCAAATAAGGCAACTATAAAAAAAAAATCAAGGACAATCAGGAAAATGTGAACACCAAGTAGATATTTGATATTAGGGATTACTGTCAATTGTTTTAGGTGTGATTATGACATTGAAGTTATGTTTTCAAAAATTCCTTTTTGAGATAAACACTAAAATATCTATAGAAGAATTGTGTTCTGTAATTAAAGCAAGAATTTGCTTCGAAATAATCAGGGGAGTGGGAAAAGAAATGGGAAAGGGAACAGATGAAACAAATTTGGCCATGAGTTGATAATTCTTGGAGCTGGGGATAGATACATAGGTTCATTATAATATTCTACTTATATATATATCTTTTGTATGCATTTCAATTTTTCCGTAATAAAAAGTAAAACGAAACACCATACCTTGGCTCAAGAATCTACTTTCCATCTGGCAAATCCAAACTTGGCTGCTGGTTTACAAGTACCCTTTAAACACAGTCAATGTAACTTACCACTCCTCCCTAACCTCTACCTTTCCTCTCTAAGTACGTGAATCTCTGAGCACATATAAGGCTCATTCCTATCTTTGTTTTTGCTTGAATCATGTCTTCTATCTCCAATGCCCTTCCTGTTTTCCTCTATCTATCCAGTCTGTCTTTTTATAAGGACCAATTCAAGTTACCTTTCTCAGAAGAGCTTGCCACAAATACACTAAAAAAATTATACTGATAATTCTTATTGTTTTCTCAGCCCAGCTAAAAGAAATATTTATTGGGTGCCTACTAAATGTAATATACTTTGCTAAACTGTGCCTCAGCTGTTTGGTGTTCATGGTTTTTAAAGGTAGCAACGCTGGAACTCAAGTCACTGTTTTTCAAATAGGTAACCCTTGGCCATGGTTCAAATTTCAAAGGCAATATGAGAGGATAAAGCAAGACATAAGTCTTCCTCCCACACTGCTCCCAGCCTGACCCAGTGTCCCCTTCCAAAAGGTAATCAGCCATCAACAGCAATCTTACTTCTTTTTTGTCTTCTAAAACAAGGGACTTTCAAATATTTCTAGCCACAACCCATGTAAATAATCCCCTTTACACTGCAACCTAGCGCACACATCTGTATGCTCTCTCTTTCCCTCCCTCTCTCTCATACACATATTCATTCATACTTATGTAACCAAAGTTTCATGAAACACGCTTACATTCAGTTTCTATTCTGTTCTACTTATTCTTTTTCTTTTTTTAAAACTGATCACAATCCCCTAATTTTGTTTTCCACTAATGGATAGCAATCTGTGGTTTGAAAAACTGCTGCTCTAAAAATAGCACAGAAGTACACATGCAAACCCCCAGTAAAAAAGTCATTAATACATTCATTTGCCTATCAAAAAAAAGAGTCAAACACTACACTGACTGAGGTGAACCACTGTCCCTGTCATAGTGAAAGTACTATTATGGGTGGTAGAAATAAAAACAACTTGGGCCGGCCCATGGCTCACTCGGGAGTGCAGTGCTGATAACACCAAGGCCCTGGGTTAGGATCCCATATAGGGATGGCCGGTTTGCTCACTGGCTGAGCGTGGTGCTGACAACACCAAGCCAAGGGTTAAGATCCCCTTACCGGTCATCTATATATGGGGGGAAAAAAAAAAAGAAATAAAAACAACTTGATGAGAACAAGAAAACCACACTGGAAACACAGTCCGTAGCTCTAAAACAAACAAAAGTGATATGGAAAAACAAAGCCATTATAAAGTGAAACAGCTAAAAACAGCAACCACTGGCATCTATATCTATAGTAAACAAAGATTTAGTTAAAAAAACAGAAAGAAAGGGCCGGCCCGGTGGCGCACTGGATAAGTGCGCCGCTTGGGAAGCGCAGCGGCGCTCCCGCCCGAGGGTTCGGATCCCACATACAGACCGGTTCCCGCTCACTGGCTGAGCGAGGCGCGGGGGCAACACCGAGGGTTGCAATCCCGTTGCCGGTCCCCGGTCCGGTACGGGGGCAACACTGAGGGTTGCGATCCGTTGCCGGACATGAGAAAAAAAAAAAGACAAAAAAAAAAAAAAAAAA